GGCTGAGAATTAAATGATATGTACAGTTTTGAAAATTTTCCCTAAAAGGAGAGAAGTACAGCTCTTCATAAATTTCTAGACTGTCATCATACTGGCAAGATTTAAGGTGGGCAAAAAACAAACAAACAAAAAAACCACACTAAACCCCCAACTCCACAAAAATCCTTTACTTCTTTCCTGGTGATAGGGTATCCCCCACTCCTCGTGAGTGACCCACAACCCGGTTTGAAATGCAGAATGTACACAAGCAGAGAAGACGGTGGGGACATGGCAGCGTGGGCCACGTGCTCAGGAATGGTCTGGGTTAACTGGCAAGTGTACACGACTTCCCTGGGGGCTGGAACGATCTCAGAAAAAGCATTCAAAGTAGCGGGGAGGGGAAGGTGAGCCATCGGCTGAACCTGGCAGAGCCAGTACGCCTCGGACAGGTGGAGCCGAAGGAAAGTGGCTTCCTGGGAGGAGGAAGGGCCTGAGTGGTGGGGCAGAGGGAGGCCCCGTGACCGCTGGCTGAAGAGAGTGAAGTCCTGTCCGTGTGAAAGAAGGGAAGGAAAGACCTCATTTAGTGCCCGAGACGTGAGAAAGCAAACTTGAAGTTGTACGGTACGCTTCAGCAGAGCACAGAAGCAGATGGGAACCGCGCAGTACTGGCGTGCCCAGCGTCGGGTTAGAAACCAGACGGTTTTCTGAAGCGTGCACGTCTTCACGGGCCCTTCCCTGGTTGCACTCCTCTCCCTTTCCCGACGCCAAGCGCCACACTAGGTTTGTTTGTCTCCTTGCCCTTCTTCAGTGGTATTTCAAACAGATGGTTTATTCAATTATGACTACTTTGGACCTTTTCGTGAGTGCAATCATACTGTATGTACTCTGTTACTTTGTCTTTATTAGCACTGTTTTGAGGTTCAGCTAATTATTTTACATAGCTGTAGTAAGTCCATGTCCACTGCTGTTTGTTTATTTATTTATTTATTATTTAAAAAAAATTTATTTATTTTTTAGAGAGGGAAGGGAGGGAGAGAGAGAGAGAGAGAGAGAGAGAGAGAGAGAGAGGGAGAGAGGGAGAGAGAAGGAGAGGGAGAGAAACATCAATGTGTGGTTGCTGGGGACCATGGCCTGCAACCCAGGCTTGTGCCCTGACTGGGAATCGAACCTGTGATGCTTTGATTTGCAGCCTGAACTCAATCCACTGAGCTATGCCAGCCAGGGTCCACTGCTGTTTAGTACCCATTATATGAATATGTTCTCAATCTTTTTGGGTGAAGTTCTTTATTTAGCTGTCACAAAACGTGCTGACATAGGTATCATTGTATGTATTCCTTGGAAAGTGTGAGCAAGAGTTTAGGGCATACACGTAGGAGTGGAATTGCTAGGCCGTGGGGAAGTACAGTTCCTGCTTTTCTAGGTAATACCAACCTGCTCCCCCAAGAGGTGGCATCAATTGGCATTCCCGCTAGCAAAGGACTAGGATTTCTGTTGCTCTTTATCTTGGTCAACGCGTAGTATCCTCTGGCTTTTAAATTTTGCCTGTCTGGTGAGAGTAAAATGGTACTGTGTTTTAGTTTTAATTTGCACTTCCTTGATTGTTGATGCAGCTGGTGTTTATGTTTATGGGTCCCCAAAATATGTCTATGGAATCAATCTTAATGAATTGCTTTAGAAGAATTTGCATTGTTAGGGGTTATACAGTATCAGATTATTTTCTCCTTACAGTTCAAACAATCCACAGGAAGCAAATGTGTATTACACCTTCGTGCATCTCCCAGACCTTCTTCTACAAATTTACATACACGTATGTTACAGGCTAAGGTTTGTGTTTCCCTCCAATTCATGTGTTGAAATCCTCACCCCCTCAATGTGATATTAGTAGATGGGGCCTTTGGGAGAGGTGATTAGGTCAGGAGGGTGGAGCCCTCATAAATGGGATTAGTGTCCTTATAGGCAGAAACACAAGAGCTTGCCCCAGCCCTCCGCGGCCCGGGGATGCCGTGAGAAAACGGCAGTGTATGAGCCAGGAAGCCGGCCCTCACCCGACACCAGATCTGCCGGCAGCCAGATCTTGGACTTCCCAGACTCCAGAGCTGTGAGAAAAAAAATCGTTTGTGGTTTAGCCACCCAGTCTGTGGTAATTTGTTATGGTGGCTAAAACTAAGGCAATATAGAAATCTAATTCATCTACAACTGGCTTGTTTACCTTAATTGTTTGCTCACTTAGCTTGAGCTCATCAAATCGGCAGGGTGCCAGCCTGGGTGAAACTGAAGCTGCTCTGGCTCAAAACAGCGTGATGCCGAGACTCTACTTTCTGCACAAACTGATTTTTTTCTCCTCTACAATAACCTGTGCACCCACCTATTTCTCATAGGCTCTGAGCATCTGTCACCTTGGACACTCATTTCCTAGGCTCACCACGATTCCAACTCTTCACCAGACTCCCACCTTGTTCACGTCCCCTCTACTCTCGTCCTCCACTGTTGCAGACACAAGGTGGAAGCACACCTACGCGAGGCGTGGGTGTTGTCCTTCTCATAACAAGAGATGACATTATGCTACAGGTGACATGTGAACTGGGGCAGATGGGGAGGGGGAACGATTCTAGCAGTCTATAGTTGGTTCTGGCACGGACGACAAGGAACTGCTGAGATAATCAGCTTACGACAGAGACAGAAAATCTTGCCTTTCTTTATGCTCAGGTTTCTCATAGGGCACACATTAATTTCTAGACTTCAAACACTTTCATTAGTGGAGCCTATAAAACCTGAATTATTACAGCTGTAATTACCACTTCAAGGAGTCACTCACTAGTCTGGAAGTCAGGCCTTTTCCTCTTACCCTGCAGGGGCTAAAAGCAAAGCACAAGGCAGATAAGTTGCTTAAAGGCAACACAGAAAGGGAAGCATGAATATACTTTCTCTCCTGGGTTTTCAGTCCAGGCAGCGAGTCTCAGTTGTTTAGGTTTCCACAATTGTCGTGGATGCTGTCCACCCTGCTCATGTCCTTTGGGCCTCCTACTCTGAAGTTTGCTTTCAGCGAGTCCTGGTACACGAGGAGGACGGTGTCTCTTGCCCCCGTTCCTCCTCTGACTTTGGGAGTGTGCTTTTCCCAGCACTGAGACGGGAAGAGGAGCAGGGGCACCCACACACTAAAGAGGGAAAGAAGTCGGTGGGTCGACACCTCAGCTTTCCTGCCTGTGGCACAATTCTGACATGTGCTCATTTCTCAGGGGGTGCACAGCAGGAGCACAGCGGGACTGAGCCCACACAGGAACCCCTCATTAAGGCAACCTTTAAAGACATTCCTTCCTGTCCTGTCTCCCTCCCTCAGAGTGCCGCTTGGAGTCACCTCCTAAACAAACTATTTGCATCTAAATCCTGATTCAGAGCCTGATTTTGGGAGGAACCCAAACTAAGACAAGGGCTCCTTTGAAAATGTCTGGAAAAACAAGGTCCCCCCGCCCCACCCCCCAGCAAATATATCATACTTTTAAGAAAGCTTGGTAAGATTGGGTGATATTTTATTATTAGGGCCAGGGCTCCAAAATCACCCTAGCTTCACTTTTCCCCCTTCCCCAGATTACTGAGGGAGCCAAACACAGCTGCCTAACAAAAATGAGGATTTATTGATAGCTTCAAGGTGCCTAACAGCCTTTTATATCCTGTTTAAACACTTCGCGTGGCTGGCTCCCTCTCCGTTTTTGTTTTTCTCACAGCGGTCTTCTTTAAACTCCCCAAGACATGGCAGTAAAAAAGGTATCAGTAATGGCTGACACATGTTTCTACAGCAAGGTTTGTGCTATGCTTTCATACTTGGGAACTCTTGCTCCTTTGTGTGACTGTAATATTCTATCAATTTCCACCGGTTGAAATCATGTTAACTTCGTAGGATCTGGTACAAATGCCACCTCCTCCATGAAACAGAGATCAACACAGGGCTCCCGGGGCCTGGGTGAAGGCCTCTTCCTTATGACTGCAGAGGGTCTGGGAGGTGTTCCACCAAGACCGGTTTCGTCCTTAGCCCAGCCCACGTTCATACACTTTTTTCCATTTTACCAAGCACGTTCAATTTTCACCTCACTCATTTCGCCTATGACCTAGGTGGTCAATCCGAGAAAATGGAAGTTCAGTGAGGTCACACAAAAGTCAAAGCCTTTGAAAAGGGCCAAATCTCACTTTGTGTAATGGCCCAAGCTGCTTCAGCGGGGTTAAACCATGACCGCCCCCCAACTTTCCGAGGCCCCCTGAGACAGATGGTCATTTGAGCTCCAGATCCAAAGTTGAGAATGGGCAGAACTCACTCCCAACCCCGGGAGGTTGTGGAGAGAACCTCGATGGGCGCTGCAGGGAGAACTTCCGCCTGGAAAAGTGTCGTCATGGGGCAAGCTTCCAATTCCACTCGGTCCGTAGCCCAGGGCCTTTTATCCTAGTTGGCTGCCTTCCACACCCAAGGGCTACCCCACCCAGCTGCTCCCTCGAGCTTCTCCACACCCTGCGGAACCGTTTGCACGTCTCGAGGGTGTGACGGTTACGCTGTGACGTTGCCCCAGAAAAAGGAACATGAGCAGGCTGCTAGGGATCGTAAGGGACCGGAGCCCCAGAGCAGAGGAGCGCTCTGAGAGCCCGGAGGCAGGACTAACACATGATTGATGTCCACACACACCTATTGCCTTTCTGATTCCTTCTCAAACAAACCAATGAATGTGACAACAGAGACGGCAACGTGCCCCCGCCGCCAGAAGTGGCTCCGCCCCCTCCATTCGGCCGCCCTTGGTCGCCATGCTTAGTGTGGCTACCGCCCGTGTACTATTTAGGCCTTTCTCTTCTGTCTGTCCTCGCTGACAGCCTTCGTAAGCATTCCTTCCCTTGCACCGTCAACTTCCACATTCTCGAGCTTCTGAGTGCTCGCTTCTAATCTAGCCACACTTGAGATGGCGGCTGGAGGGGCGTGGCCGAGGAGGGGCGTGACCGGCGCGGTGACGTCAGCGCGCTGCGTGTCGGCAGGTGAAGGGAAAGTTTGGCCCGTGCGTGGGGCTGGGGTGGAGGGCGGGACAGAGGGGCCGGGCGCAGGCGAAGCTCCTGTCGCTGCTGCAGCTGAGGCCGAGGCCGGGATCTGGACCGGGCCGGAGAGTGCCGGACGCGGAGGAGCTGGAGGCGACGTCCGCCGGAGCTTCGAGTCCCCGCCGCTCTGCCGCTCTGTGACCTCGCACCCAAGCGGCGTTCGGACCCGTGGCTGTTCTCGAGGAGATTGGTGGGGTCGCGGCGGCAGCGGTTGGGGGTGGGGAGACGCACGGCGAGGAGAGGAGAGAGGTCAGCGAGTTTGAGGGAGGACCGAGAGCTGTGCTGCCGTCATGTCCGAGGAGTCGAGCGCCCTGCCCTGGTCCATCAACAGGGACGATTACGAGCTGCAGGAGGTGATCGGTGAGAGCTGGCGCCACTGAGTGGGGAGGCACCGCTCTGGGCAGAGGGTGACACGCGGGAGCTCGCAGAGCGCAGGACTCACAGATATTAATGGGCACTCGTGGTTCCCGGGGGTTTGTAGGGCGCGTGGGTGAGGCTCTGGGTTTGTGCAGCGCGTGTGAGGCGGGGAGGGGATTTTGAGTGGCGCGCCGGCGGGGTGGGGTAGGTCTGAGGAGCTCAGGAGAGATTTGTGTAGTGATAGATGTCTGAACCTGAGCGACAGATGTGTCTTGGAAAGAAAGAAAAGTGCAGGCGTGGGGCAGGCCTTTACAGGGCTGTACCAAAAAAGGGATCTTTAGAGCTGTGGCCACCTATTTGGGGGATTATGGGATAGGGTGCTTTAGTTCATTCCCGCATCCGTGCGAGAAACCTTGAGAGCCCACGAAATGCCAGACATGGCTGGGGTGGAGCCGGGGTGGAGCCGGGGAGGAGCAGGTACCGAACTGAGCAACGCGAACACAACTTCCGACTGTTTCAGGCTGACTTTCTAGTCAAGGAGGGAGACTTCAAATAAGCAGATAAATAAAAACAATTACAGGTTTTGGCAAGTGCCAGGAAGGAAATAAGATGTTCTGATAGGGAATAACCTGGAGACCTCGTTCGGGTGACTTCAAGGAAAAATCTTTCTTTTGAGGCATTTTAAGTTGAGCACTGAAGGGTGAGAAGGAAGCTAACGAGCCTGGGGAAGGTTTTTCCTACCGAGGGATGAGAGAAGATGAAGGTCGGTCCTGAGGAGGGAGAAAGCTTGATGTGTTTTAGGAGCCGAAGGAAGGCTGGCAAGGATAGAAATAAAGGTATGGGAGAGAGGCCAGATCTTAGGGAGCTTGTCAGCCCTGGTAAGGGTTTTGGGATTTTACGCGTTACTGGAGGGCTTCAAGCGGGGACATCCAGTGGGTCTGGCTGTTGTTGCGTGAGGAGCAGGTTGGAAGGTGGTCCAGGGATACCAGTTGGCAGAGACCAAAACTTGCAGAAACATAGACTGGTCATTCTCGGGCAGGCACCGCGATTGGGAGAGTGTAGGGACTGGAGATGATGAGGGGAGTACTTGTTGGACAGCAATAATCCAGTGACTTTAGAAATCAGAAAGGGGTGGGTTTAGCTAAACAGAAGCTCAACCCAATTGACACGAGCAGACCCCTGTATATTGGAGGAAGGAGGTTGTCTGTTTTGCTGGATCAGCATCCTGTTCTAAAATTAGTTGTATAGCAAAAAGACTGACGGAAAACTCGTTAGCTACCTTGGGGGTGTGAGTGTGTGTTGTACTGTATCTGTGTTTTACAGAAACTTTGTCATTTTTTTTTTCACTTGCCTGTTGTTTCAGAACAAATCTGAGCTCAGTTTTATCTGAGAGACATCACGTCTTTCTCCCAAGTCACTCCGTGGGCCTGTGTTCTTGCTGCATGCTGTCGGACTCGGACTGGCTGGTTCCAAAGACAGCTAGCTAGCTGGTCTCTGTCTTGACCAGTTGCTTCTGGGCCCCTCAGGGTTTCCTGCTGAAGAAGGGGATTAAGCAGGACATTCCAGAGTGAAGTCTGAAAAGTAAAGGAAAGAGTCCCTATGACCGTTCTAGAAGAGCAGTTCTGCTTTCTTATTCGGTTTCTTTCTAGGGTGAAGAGGATGCTTGTGGTCGTTCTCAGTGCCTTTGCCATTGAGGCGGCACAGGACCATAGTCACTTAGAGGGCCCGGTGTCCTCCGACCCTAGGGTGCCCGTGGGTGGAGAGAGGGGACTCTCAGTCTTCCAGGGGAGGGTTGGTCTTTGTCTTATTCTCAGAGTGGTCCATGGGGGAAAGGTTAAGCTCTCCAGTGTGATTTGACCACCTTATTTTAAAGATCTGAGGTGTAACTTAATACCACAAAACTCACCCATTTTTAGGTGTAAAATTCAGTGATTTTTTTTTAAAGTAAATTTACTGTGTTGCCCACCAGTCAGCATAATCCAGCTTTAGAACATTTTCATCACCTCATTGAGATCCTTTGTGCCTGTTATGGTCGCTCCCTATCCCCCACCCCAGCACCAGCCCACCACCTGTCTACTTTCTGTCTATAGATTCGCTCTTTTGGGGTATTTCATATAAATGGGATCATATAACATGGTCTTTTGTGTTGGCGTCTTTCCATTAGCATAGTATTTTTCATTTTTTAAAACCATTTTATGGAGGTATAAGTTCTATACCATAACATCCACCTGTTTTAAATGTAGCGTTCTATAGTTTTTTCAGTTAATTTACAGTTGTTCAGTCAGCACCACCATCCAATTTTAGAACATTTCCATCATTCCAGAAAGATGCCTCACGTCCAGTGCAGTCACTCCCTGTCCCCACCCCCTGCTCCGGGCAACCACAAGTCTACTTTCTGTCGCCATAGATTTGTGTGTTCTGGACTTTTCATATAAGTATCATCATGTACTATGTGATCCTTTGTGCTTGGTTTCTTTTATTTGGGAAATTTTTTTTTGAGGTTTATTCATGTTGTAGCCTGTACTGTCCATTATATTCCTTTTTTTTTTTTTTTGACACCATTTGATGGATGTTGGGTTTCTGCTTTTTGGCTGTGAGCATTCACATCAGATCTTTGTGTGAACATACTTCATTTTTCTTGAGTGGAATTGCAGGCTCATGTGGTAAACTTATGTGTAACTTTGTAAAGTGACTGTACCATTTTATGGTCACATTAGTGATGGATGAAGGCTGCTGTTTCTCTTGCCAGCATTCGTTGCCTGTCGTTTTGATTGCAGCCATCCTCGCGGGTGTGAAGTGGGGTCTTACTGTGGCTTTGTTTTGCGCTCCCCTAATGACTGATGATGTTGAGCATCTTTTATGTGCTTGTTTATTAGCTTTCCATATATCTTCTTTGCTGAAATGTTTGTTCAAATCTTTTGTCCACTTGGGTTGTGCTTTGGGAAATGGTATAATGGCGTCTCCTTTCTCATCAAAGCACATACATTTATTTGAACTGTAATTTTTTTCACATGTGCTACTCAGCACTGTGATATTTATGGGATTACTATTTCATACATTCTGTTTTGTTCTGTCTTTTTCTGGCAAAATTCTATGGAGAAAATTTCCTTTCTCAAACATAATACAAGTGTTCAGGGTGGGAATTAAAAGGACTTCCTTTTAAACAATTTTATTATCTTAGCCCTGGCTGGTGTGGCTCAGTGGATTTGGCCTGCAGGCCAAAGGGTGGCTGGTTCAATTCCCAGTTGGGCACAGGCCTGGGTTACAGGCCGGGTCCCTGGTTGCAGGGGTGTGAGAGGCAACTACACATTGATGTTTCTCCTTCTCTGTTTCCCTCCCTTCCCCTCTCTCTAATAATAAATAAATAAATAAAATCTTAAAAAAAAGAATTTTATTATCTTAAACATGCTTCGGCAAGATTTTAAGTTAAGTATATTTACTTGCAAAAAAATGTTCGTATTGTTCTCATTATAAATCATTCATCTTTTCAGAAAGGAGTGTTTTGGGCCCCTTTCTGACCCCTATTACTGTATTAGAATTTCCGCCCAGGTGTTGGTTGTGCTGTAGCTGACGCGTTGAAGCAACGGTGAAAGTATGGGCTTTGGGGCTAGACTGACCTGGATTCAGATTCTGACTTTACCTGTTACCACCTGTGTGACCTTGGATGCTACAAGTGGTGTTCACGTCACCTTCTTGTCTCTGAAGTGGGAAGGTGGCACCTGCGTCACTGAGGCCAGTGTGTGGAGTACATGTCGTTGTTTGTGGTAAGTGTTTAGCTTGTATTGAATGCTTCATAACATGGTTGCTGTTGTCTCTGACTGTCTTTTTCTCCCGGTCCTTACATTTCCTAATTTCTGGTACTGCCATGAAATATTGAAATAAGGCACGATTTGAAATCTTGGAACACAAATATTTTAGATCTGTGTTAATGCTGTTAGAACATCATTGCATCTTTTTTTCTTGCTCCCAGATCTCATTCAAGTGTAGATGGATTTAAGGATTTACATTGGATGAGGTAGTGCAGATGGGTGAGGCCCTCGTGGGAACCTAGTCTGGCGAGGGCTGTGCCACGTGCCTTTCCTTGGGCTGCATCTTGAGAAGCCTCAGTAAATGTTTACGGTTGACCTCAGACTCTGTTTAGAAAGTCTTTTCTCTAAGATCCGGTTTTAGTCAGGTATGACCCTTCTGGCTTTGACACTGTGGCGAAGATGACCCACGGGCGTGATTCTCTCCTCTCCTCTCCTCTCTCCTTTTTGCTTTTCATTCATTGTTCACTAGCCACACACTTTCATGTCTCAAATAGTGATCTCCAAGTGCAGGTGCCTCTGATCCCTCCGCAAATATGGAAGACATCATGTTCTTTCAGCAGTGCTGATGGCAGTGGTTAGTGTGTTTCCTTCCCCGACTGGTAGGCTTAGCTATGGTGACATTTGCAGAAAGCCCAGTTTTGGACCAGCAGCCTCCTAGGGTTGCATGTGGCTGCTTGTAACGGAAAATAAGTGACAGTAGCTTAATAAAATACGTTTTCCTCCTTTACATAATGAGAAAACTGGAGTGGCACCCAGGCTCCTAGTTTTTCCTTCCACTGCACTTAGCACATGACTCTCGTTCTCATAGTTGCGAGATAATTGTTTCACTGAGAGCCTCGTGCCTGTGTCGGAGGCTGGAAGAGGATGGCAGGAGGACAGAGGCACGTGACGACTGAGTTGGCTCCTTCTCAGAGGACTTTCTTTCCTGGAAGCCTTACTCAGTGACTTCCATTTCTATTTTATTGGCCAGAACTGTGTAATTTGGCCATTTGCAAGGGAGGCTGTGAAGTGAAGCTTTTTAGCTGGGCACACTGTTCCTTCAAACAAAGCTGACAGTTTTGTTATTAAAGAAGAAATGAAGTTGTATGTTGGATAGGCACCCACAAATGTTGGCCTTGGCTTTTTTTTTTTTTTATTAAAATAGTTAAATAAGACATTGAAAGTAAATAATTTAACCTGACACATAGTAATCAG